TCAGTTACGTATTGCTTCGTCGTCGCCGCCGCCACTGCCGCATGCACCTCGTTCGTAATTTATCGACGATGAGCTGGTGTGTGGGTGGGTGCGCGCACGCCGCAGCGCCCGGAATCATTGGCCGCAGGGGCCAGCTCGCCGGTTTTGAATTGCGCGCGCAATGCGGCGATGCGCGGTCTTTATATTCGCGCACGACAAAATCCACACCACTACATCGCACGTTTACATTCCTCATTATTGAAACAAATGCAAAATCATTGAGTTTGCGTTCGTATTGATTTAGTATAGTCGCTTGTTTACACTTGTATATTATTTTAATTTAAGTTTTAGCTTTATTTTAAGAAGGTTGACTTTTGAGCTTGCGCGCAAGTTTTAAATATATTCAAATTTAAGATATTAAATGTAGGTAATGATTTTGAATTAAACAAAGAAGTAAATAAATGTTAAATCAAAAAATAGTTGTTTTATGACGCCGCGACGATTCCAATGCGCATTGACTGCATGTTTATTACCGTGCTATAGTTTGTGACAAAGATGGAAGCAAACGCGATGCCGCAGCAAAAACGTGGATCATACAAATCACCGCGATCTTCTAGAAGTTACTATCGAATATATTTTTATTACAATCAAAAAATTGTTGTTATGTATCAATATAACACTTTATTATATAAAAACTATTAAATAATTTAAGTTAGAAATAAGCATTGTTAATTTTAAAATCTTTAAAAGAAAATTTCATTCAAACGAAACAAATTTTCTGCATCTATGTGATTTATATGATCTCGAACTTGGCTTCATGTGCACGGGCGACACAAACAAGAAAATGGCGAGCGCAGTATCGTACGAGACGACATCGGCGGTCCACTGTCAGTTCTAGACGATCGACGTCCGGCCCGTGCCTGTTGGGGTGCAGCATCCCGACTAAAATTCATTTCCGATCACAAACGGTGATGAGAGCGTGCGCGTCGCTAGGATAAATTGAGTGGACGAACGTTCGCCGCCGAACACTTTGTAAAATTGTAAATAGTGACTTGTATAGTTAGTGGTAAACAACTTGCGAATAATCACGGTCAACGACTAACGAAAATTTGCTTAAAATACCTAATAATACATGTAAGTACAGTGTGCGTGCGTGCAACAAGGTGTGTGCTATAAAAAATCATCATCGCCGAAGATACAGAGGGTGAATGCGCCCGCGACTGTAAATAACAAAAATAACAAGCGACGTCGATCGAAATTTTCGCCCGGCAGTAGTGATCGAAGATCGATTTGACGCGTGCGAAAAAACGCAAACAACAAGGGAGAGATAACACATAGATACGACGAGTGGAAAGCGTCGTGGGCTGGTGGAGAGCTGGGCGGAAAACAAGCATCGACGGCGGGTGCTTGGGCAGCGAGTTTCGCACACGTTCCTGCGTCGCCCGGCAAAGGTTGGCAGGTTTCGGCGCTGCGCTGATCCGCTCTCCGCGCTTGGCGTCTCAATCGAGGCAGGCGATCGGCCGTATAAGGTGTGCGTTTCTGCGTGCGCGATTTTCCGTTTTCGTTTTTCGTTCGCGCGCGTCCGCGGCGTGAGTGCGCGTCGCGTGTGTGTGTCCGCCGTGGTCGCGGTCCTCCACCCGCCGAGGGCAAAAACCGCATACATCGTTCGTTGACGAATACGCACGCCGCGCTGCTGATCGCCGCTCGCTGCGAATTCGCACTTCAACATAAGTACCGGTGAGTACCGAATACCTACAGACTCATACACCTAAGGCGCATAACTTGCACGTCGAATTCTGCCCCTAAGCAACAAGAAAATCATGTTTTGCGTTAAAAAACGCTAGTTGCAACTAACGCATGACGAACCTAACCTCCAAAGTGAACAAAACAAAAGCGCATCGTCTATACCGGCGAAAACGTAGTTGACTTTCATTTGTTTATGTAGTGTTTTATTTATACAAATTATTAGTATGGTTATTTTTAGTGAATAATTGTAACAATTTGAGATTAATTCATGTTGTATTGTTTGCAGTGAGACCAATGAAGTGGCTGGGCGGCGGCGATGGAAGTGCTGTAGTACACCTGGAGATGGAACGTGCACAGCGTTCCCAGGATGATGCAGCAGTAGGCTATGAGTTCCAGCGACCGCCTGATCCTGAATTTCTTACATTTGGCAACAAACAGGCACGATGGGCACTGGGAGATGAAAGCATTATTGATGTGAGTTGAATTTGAGAGTTGGCTGCTTAAATGTTTACAAATGTGATCAAAAACACAAGCCGAAAAGTCGCAAACAATTTTGGAGCTGTGGTGAGGTATTACAATCAAGATAGGATGAAATACCGATATTTAAATGCTAAGTTGAGTGTTGACTATAGGCAACTTAAATTACACGAAAACTCGAGCTGTTTCTGTTGAATGTAGTACGCTGCGGTTTGGATAGGATTTAAATTTACTTGTCGTTTGTTAAAACTGTTATCAGTGTAAAATATTGCTAAATTGAACTTAAAAATTGATTATCGGAAGTTTGTTTTAACATTGGTGTGATGTAACCGCAATTGTTGGACATTACAAAACAATTGTCATCATGATTTTATGTTTAATCGGTGCAATTTCTCCATTATGTTGTACAAATTACTGCACTATCAATTTATATTGCGTTGCACAGACTGAGACTCATTTTTGCTTTGTTTTGGCGCGTAGTAGTATTTTTCACGTTGCAAAATATTCGACCGCGCTATGGCATGTGATATGTTTTAATCAGCGGACTCTGCAACGCTAACAAGTTCTACAATTTGTTTTCATTTGCAAAACAGCAAATTTTTAATTTGGCACGTCATAATTACGAATTTCCCTACACCCGATGCGCGGTGGTCGGTCGTCTTTGCATCAATTTCAATTAAGGTACTTACTTAACTGTGCCGCGGCACTGAAAATTCTTTCGGGTCTAATTTAGGCGACGAATTTCTTGCTCCAATTGATGGAATTTTGCCTCCGGGCAGGAAACTCGCGCACACAATTAAAGCAATTACATGCAGGGCGCGCGAGTTCATCGTCAATGAAAATGAACTTCAATTGGATTAAACATGATGAACGAAAATGTTTTCCTTTCTTTCCGTGGAATATTTGCAGCTTTTGCGAGCACTTTGCGACTTCAATAATTTTCTTAGCCGAAGCGCCAATGGATGGCACTTTTCTTTAGAGGAAATTTAATTAATTCTTTTGTCAACGCGCGAAATTGTCGCAGGCTTGTGGACGATTTGCAAATTAAATGTTTTGCAATACGTTTACAATGTTACCATGTTTATCTTTCCTTTCAATTTAATTTTTAATTATTAATTACGATTAAATATTAAATATTTGTGCATATTCATGGCATTTTTCTACACTTCTTGTATTTTTAATCGTGCACATGTCGATTGCGAAAATATCTTGCACCTAATTAATAACATCGGATGTTCATGTCACGGGAAGGTTAATTTATTAATAATATCGCTATTATGCTAATTGAGTTCGCAACTCCACTGTGTTGACGTGCAAACAAGTTTCAGTTGTCCACAGTTTATTGATTAAGTATTGTTTTCATAGTCAACTTGCTCCCACTCGCGAAGACTACCGAGTACATTGTGTGTTTGCTTAGTTTTACCATTTAATTAATTTGATCATTAGTATGATTACGTAAAATTCACCTAAAAACCGCGTTGGTGCAAACCTTGAGACACTTTTGAAGTCAATTATAAATTCCAATTAAGTCCTGCGAAAATGTTCGATTGAAGGCCCTGTAGACTGTCGGATATTGTAATTTGCTCAAGTAATGCAAGCAATAGTACTTCAACTTTGTCTTCACCGTGAAGGCTCGTCCCGGTTTGCGCCAACTTTGGAGTAAGTTTATAAACGCTAGAACAAGCGTGACTTGATTGCCGTAAACGTTTTCGATCCCATTTCGAGTAAATTAGAAAAGTTTCGAGACTTTTTCGACCCCGCGAATTGAATAATTTCGGCGGGACGGCATATGCATATGTATGTGGCGGCGGTGGGCGACATGCGAGCCGTAAGCTGGGCACCCAAAAGTTTCCGGAGGAAAACGGCGACAGGAGTCGGGATTTGATGAAATCTAAAACCCACGAATCTGAAATCTATTCATATCGAGAGCATGCAAAGATAAGAAATTTGCGTAATAAATTTCTTTAGCGTCTTTTTTTCGTGCATAAAAGTTGTAAGTTAAATTATAAATATATCAGCAAAGTAGGGATCTTATAGAATATGAATAAATCATAATTTTTGAGAAAAGTTTGGTGCTGAACATTACTGATTTATGAGGGAATAATTTGATCAAAATTGACTTCGGCGAGCAGGTTGAAGTTTTTTTACGATAGAAAAACAATTGGAGTTTTTTTTCTTTTCATTTCAATGATTATTTCTCATAATAATTGCGATGAGTGTGTAAAATAATTGTTTGTTACCAATGTTGATGTAATTTCCGTGTTCTTGAACTTTGCAAGATTTGTTTGATGATTATCTCGTAATTATTTCTGTTGCTGTGAATTAACAAATATTTACTTATGTAATCGATTCACCAGTGCAATGTGTTATGGGTACACACGCGCACAAAACACATGACAACACAATTGTGAATTGTTTCCGACTTTCGCCATAAACAACTACACACAGGGAAACAGCTTGAGTAAAAGACGTTGCGCTCGCGGTTCGCGCATTGTTCATTGCGGTCGGCTTAATTGTTGTTTATCGCTTTGATAAATAAACGAAACAAATGTAGAAATATGTATTCGTTGTAAGTGCATGCGCTTATTACCCGGTCACACCGTGCGTCGCATACACGAACGTTTTTTTCTTTTTATTGTTATTATTTTGTTGGTTGCGCTTTAACCTCAACCCATATCGCCGTTCGTATCTCGTGTATGATTGCACGTGGCGCCTTTGGTGTTGGTGTTTCAGAATTATGACAAATGGACGTTCCAGGTGAACAGCAAGCTGCCACAGGCGGGCGCGGGCCAGCCGAACATGTCGTACATGGGCATGCCCACCGGACTGTACGACATGGGCGCACAGAATAAGAACATTGCGCCGAATCTCCACCAGCAGCAGCAGCAGCAACAGCACCACCTTCCGCTTCAGCACCAGCAGCAGCAACAGCAGCAACAACAACAGCAGCAGCAACAGGATCAGTTGATGTATCCTATGCCGGGGCAGATGCCTATGCACAATCCATACATGCAGCAGCAGACGATACACGCACAACCCCAGCCACAACAGATCTCAATGAGGCAGCAACAAGCTCAGGTGAGTTTCAAAACTTTCTAAACGAGTGTCAAACCGTATTTTGAACGTTGGGAATGAATATCTTCACGTTTTAAGACATAGATTCGGTCTTCTTTCGATAAATAATTAATGCCAGTGAACGTGTGACACTTTGAGCGAGCACCACACTGAGCTGCGCGCCCTGGAGGTGTTCGGGCAGTCGGTGCGGCGGAAAACTCAAACCTCAAAGTCGTTTACAGAGGTACGCGGCGCGCGTGAATAATTCATCCGGCCGACATAAATAGACAATAAGCCGATGCCTTCGGGGGCCGGCGGCGGTCGTTTCCGGCGGCCTCACCCCGAATACGGATGCCGGGGGACCAACGGGGCACCACCACCACCTAGGCGTCGCTCCATCGGGGCGGCGGGAAACATTTTCGCACGAAGATCGATACGGATGCGAAGGTAACTAAGGCGCGAGGCGGGCGTGCTGCCGGGCGCGACCGACGCGTCTTATTACGACCGTATTACACAAATAAACAAACATCGCCTCTCGTTTGCGCGGCGGCGGCGGCGGCGCGTTATAGGCCGCCCTCGCGAAAATTGCGAGCAAAATATTCTTTGTTTATTCAGCGATTTTGTCTTAACATCAGTTCTAACACTCCTTGTGTTTTTCTTGACGAAGTAAATTAAGGGGAAATTATAGTTTGATAAATTTATTACGACACTTATTCATCCAGAAAAAATTCTTTGGGGCGTATTACGAACACTGTGTTTGTTTTGTGGTTAAATGTTTGTAAGGCGTTGTGATATTACATGTTTTACACCACGGATCAAATCTCTATCTATATCTTAGTATTCGATATTTTCTCCTTTGCTCTCGACTTGCCTCTTCTGCACTCTGCCGAAGGAAATTTTCTGAAAGCTTAGCGCAAATACTGGCGTTTTACACGGCGATGGAACTTCCTTCGAATAGAGATGTTGATGCCGATGGGTGGATATTGCGCTCCACCATCCCGCCTCTCTGAATCGCGCCCGATTTTTACTTTTTTTTTGCGTGCCGCGTATGCGATTTTTGCCAACTTTTGTACTTTGCTACATTACATTGCGTTTCGCACCGTGAAATTCCCGAAAGCGCACCGAGAAATGCGCCCGCTCGATATCATCAGCGGGTTAAAGCACGTGTAAAAAGCGTTCTCGGAGAAGCGGTTTCTCGCGGCGCCGAAATCGCGTTATGCGGGTTCACGTGCGGGCGGAACGTGTCTACAAATTGATCAATTGTCGCTGCGGCCGGGACCGAAAACGGGAGGGAGCGCGAAAATGATTAATTTCGAGCAGACGGTGGCAACTTTTTTCGCACTCGATTCGGTGGCGATTCTCCACTCCGCTACTCAAATACGGCCTGTAATGCTCGCTGGAGAGAGACATTACTTCCGTGCACGATTCTGAGGGGTGCGCGGTGTGCGTTTCGTAATTCCGATTGTCGAACGCATTAGCGAACAGAGCGGCGCATATTTTCGTTCGGGTTTAACCGCGTGTCTGTAATTGATGCCCACGTGTTTTTTTTTTGCGTGGAAATTGTGATTAATTGGTTTATGATAACCTGCAATAATTCTATCGATTAGCTTTGAGATTAATATCTAATTTGCAATTGAAGGTTTCGAACGTACCTACTCTAAACGCTTAATGCTGCGTTTAATAAAACGCTCAATTTATTGTTGGAAATTTCGCAACAACACTATCACGCTTCAGCTTGCAGCTGGAAAAAGCAATTTGTTCGTCAACGTACATTACCCTCATTTTCATTCGGAGAAAACGTTAAAACATTAGGCGCAAACGAAGAACGCCTCGTCGGAAAGATGCTCCGGGAGCAGCGGATGCTGAACCATGTCGGATCCTGGCAGCGCCGAAGGGATTTCTGCTCGCCGCAGCCGAGGTATTAGTGTGCATACGGGTCGCTCCCCGCGCCCACCGCCCCCGCGCTTTAGTCGGGCAGATTGTGTAATATAAACCAATCTCATTCCACCCGCCGCGCCCCTGTTCATTATTACACCTCGCTTACTCGCAGCGCGGCGTTCTCGTCAACCCGAAACTCGACTAATTCGTCGCTTAATTATACGCCGCACGCGTAAACACCAAAGTCACAATTTAGGTTATGCTTGAATTTTGCCAATTTTCGAATGGAGCAGTGGCGCATATTTTTGGATGAGCGCATGTCGAAACCTTTTGGCAAAACAAACGCGAAGGAATAAACCGGTGTAAGGGTCGATTGGGATGGAGGGCTTGTTAGATCCATTTATTTCGGGTCTCAGGAGCTGAATGCTAGGATAATTAAAGTCAAATCCGAGCGTGTACCTATCATAACGCGCTATAACGGAGGCGTCAAGTGAATTGGATGGAATGCTTGTTAGTTCCGACCGTGTTACAGATGATAAAACTTGGGCCATTATAATGATGCCTCAATTTACACTATGAGCAATGAATTATGATTATGTACCTATCTACTTTGCATAGACGATCCAAATAGATGTAAATCTTTAATTTACTTTGGAAATGTCAGAAAATCACTACTTTTGCGTGCTTGCGATATTTTTAGACTAAAAAGTATTTTAAAATCAGATTTTATTGTCTGCTTCGCCGGTCTGGTTACCCGATGACTCGAAACGTCTTATTTCCCACCCCTTGCGTCTCTAACCAAACCGGGGAACCATTATTATTAGGTTTACGATGAGATATGGCGGCGGGCGCGTCATGTTTCTTCCCGTAGAAACTCGCCGCGCGGTCCATTTCGTCCGCGATGCTGCGAAACCTGAACCGTGCTTTTATTCTTTCGCCGCGCGTTCGAAAGCGCTTCGTGTGCGCTTGCCTCGTTTGCCGCGATGCGCATTTTGCGTTTTCTTTGTCTCTTGACAGTTTTTTTTTTGCGTGTTCGCCATAGGTACTTTGTCCGTTCATACGTCGAATGAATGTCGGTTTGTCATCGTCATGCGACGGAATCTATAGTACTATCGTCCGGTTTGATATCATGCTAGTGCATTCGTCTTCCTTATGAGCTGTTGTATTTTATGTCGAAAATATACGACACAAAGTTTGAGTTTTGGGACGCAAAGTCGGTCAACTTTTTCGTCGACTGCAAAGAAGATTGCGTCTGTATCGCGGCCCGCTGGCATGATGCTATCGCGATAACCGGGATTGGGGCACAACACGCGCCGCGGTGCGCCCTCCGAGGGCGACAAGTCGCGAGAGATGCGGAGTTTTGTCGGGGTCGGCTTTTCTATCTTCCTCTTTGCGTTTGTTTATGTATGCTGCAACTTTTCGTGGGCTTGTTTTGTTTGCGTCTTTTGCGTTTTCTGCCAATCGTAGTGTGTGTGCTTTTCTAACATACTTGGAAAGCTCGCTAGGGGTTGGCAAGGGTGATGAAATGTGAAAATTTCTGCCTGCAAAACAAGCCGAGAGAAGTGTGTATCCCGTGTTTGTGTTTTTCACTTATATTTTTGGGTATTTTTGGGCTATAAATCAACGTGGCGTTTAACAGACACACTTCTCTAGTGCACCCTAGCAAAAAAATCGATGCTGTATTCTCTTGAGCTATTTAGACGATTTTGCTGAAAATATATTTATTTTATTATCCTTGGGTTGTCTGAAAGGTATCAGGAACAGGGATTGCGTAACGCGTACTTCGTAGCTCATTAGTTCTCCGTTAATTAGTGCAAACGTGTATTCGACATTACCCCGACATGACGTTGCGACATGACAATGACGAGGATACGCGTGGGTCATGCGTACTCCCGTCTTGTGTTTCGAGGTTAATTTGCGAGGGTAGCTTTAAAGTTTCGCTCGAGAACGACGTCAATTTCCCGGAGCGAACGTTTTGTTTTAACAAGTACAACAAACTCGCTTCTAATAACGTTCACTCCAAGTAATTTCTATATCTTTTGCCACTTTTTTGAGATTAGAACATTTTATAGCTTGTGTTCACTGACACGTATTCTTGTTTTAATTAACACGGTTGAATATTTTCGGTACTGTGTCAGCAATAATTCTTCTTTGAGTTGTTTTGGGACGACAATTCACAATGTTTACGCAGCTGCTGCATGTTGTCAGGGAGATATCATATCGTATTCGCATCGATTTCGCCGATGAGGACTTGTCGGAGGCGACTTTATTCTGTCCGATTTGAGGCTTGACACAATGGCATTTTGACTGACGGAAAAAGGCGGACGCGGACGTGGAAGTGGCGGCGGCGTCGTCGTTTGTGGAAGAAAAACATGTTTGTGGCAGGCAGAGGAAAATAATATTCGCGGCTTCCTGCGCCTGCTCATCATTCAGAACTGTGCCTTGCCCGTGGAGTTTTCCAGTCCTTTTACTAGGCGCCGCGTGTCTGCTGGAAAACGTGCCGCTGCTTTTATAGTCGCTGCACACAGTCTTTTGAATACGCCACGCTGGTTTACTTCTGTGGACCGTTTAGCATTATTTTTCTTGTTTACACTTTTTTATTTTATCGCGTTACGCACGCATGGTTTTTGCGTCCGGTTAACACTCTTCTGATTTTTAATGGTCAATTTTATTTTTTTGCATAACATTTTTGTTATCGGGTACCCACTTCGTAATTAGATTTCTACTTCGCGACGCGCTATAATTTAACCCTTAACTTCCACTCGGTGATTTCCGCATTTCTGAGGTTCTTCAAGTCGTAATTAGTCGGACTATTAATGTCTTTCGTTTTCTTGGCTTTTGTCTCTTCACCGCTGACGCAAGAATACAAACAGCGACGACATCGTTCAGTCCGACTTATTTAACGGTAATAAAGTCTTGACGAAGCTTGCACACTTTTGCTTAAACAGCTTTTACCAACATGAAGAAACCCACCGGTGTGGAGACAGCGACGACATACTCACCAACACATGCACACAAAAAGAAAGATGGGCGTTGATTGTGGCGCGGTCGGGAAACAATGGTCCCGCGCTTATTTGCCTCGTTTTGTCATACTCGCGAACGTGTTGGCGTCGGCGTTTATCCCCTTTCATTCTTTGCGCGCCGCT